ACAAGCAGAGGGAATCAATTGGAAAGACAGGGAGCTAAAAAGCAGCAATGGAGAATTGGAAGTAATTTGTTGTCCTTCAATCAATATCACAAACATCACAAATGGTCTTAATGGTTTTGGGGTAAGAGTTAATTTTTTGATTAAGGTATACCACTATCTATACTGCGGACATATGTGTTCACATATCCAACATCATAAACTTTACCACTCCCAACCCAATAACTGAGCATCCACGGTCCCTCTCTTGCTTTTAAAAACACATTTAAGAAGACATCAGTGACCTTCTGCTGCTTATAATTAGTCCTACAAAAAAAGAATAGAGACTTGATGATAAATCACAATGTCTGTTTTATACTGAGCTATAAAGTAGTCTATAACTCTAGAGAACTCCTCTTAGTATAAAAATACATAAAATTCAGAATAAAACTTTATTAAAATTATTTTTTCCATATAAATGGTTGAACTAGCAAGAAAAAAAAGAAAAGAAGAAATTCTCAAAGTCCAGAGATTAGGAGAAACTCCAAACCAGGAAGGTTAGTGATCGCCAGAGCGGGTATTTACCCTGGCAGTGGTTCCGATCCCTGGTGGGCTATGCTTGAGTTTCAGCGGCCACACACGTGCACAAGGACAAGAGAACCAAGCCGAAGCCTCAGCACAAACAGGACCCCCCAAAGCTAATACTCTTCACGGGTGAACTAGTAAGAGAACCGCCCCCCCCACACACACACACGCACTCACAGAGAGGAGCTTAAGGATAATCACCTGGCACCCACTCAGCTGGGTGGGAAAAAAATATCCTTGCGTATTTCTCAAACCACATGCTAAGACTCACAAGAGCTTGAGACCAGACAGTCTGCACAAAGTTCACACCAGCTGTGTGGTCTGCAAAGACCTGAAAAGCCTTCGAGTGACTTCCCAACCAAGGTCCTGTGTCAGAAGAAGAAAGTTGAATGAGAAACACGAGCCTTTAACTGTCTGACCCCTGAGGTGATATGCATTACTTCTCTTCTTTGTCTATGGGTGTAAAGTAGCCACTTGACCCCAAAATATCTACAAGGGAAGCTTGGAAATACAGAGGTGAGAATTAGAATGTTTGGTGAATATCACTTCTGCCACATGAGTTAAAATCCTTGTGTTACAGGGATAGTGGAAATTGATAAAATTTCTTAAATTGTAAAGTTCAAATTTGTAGGATAACCACAAAAAGAAGAGAAACAGTGTGTAACTTCAAAGTTAGTGGAGGAAGGAGACAGGATGAGGGGAAATTTTCAAAAATCTCAATCGATTTAAAAAAAAGGTGAGGAAAGAGGGAGAAAAAAGATACTGGGTTAAAGTGGGATGAGGAGAAATTGCAAAATAAGATGATTGGAACAAAATCAAACACAAAATTAATTTGGTGACTATAAATGGGTCATATTCTCTATTTAAAAGGCACAGACACAGTAAATTCTAGCAGCTTTCGAGGAACAGCAAATACCAAATGCTTCTGGAGACTGAAAATCAGAGAACTCACCAACCCATTTAAAGAGACTGTTGTATCCCTGACATTTGTATTCGTTTCCTGTGGCTAATGATGAATTACCACGAAGTAATGGCCTAAGAAAACATCCATTTATTAGCTCACAGTTCTGTAATGGCTCAACACAACACAGTTTTGCTATTTTTCAGTCCTGGAGAGCAGAAGTCCAAAACAAGACTTATGAGGCTAACATCAAGGTGTTCTCAGGGCTCTAATCTTTCTGCAGGCTCTAGAGTACAACCCATATTCTTGCATTTTTCCAGTGCATAGAGAGATCCCCTGCATCCCTTGGCCTTTGGCCCCTTCCTTCATCCTCAAAGCACATTAGTCCCAACTCAGCTTCTGCTATCGCACCGTGTTTCTGACTCTGATCCTCTTTCTTCTTTCTTCAAGGACCCACTTGATGACATCGGGCCCACCTTGGTAATCCAGGGAAATACCCAAATGTCAAGATCCTCAATTAAAGCCATCTGTGAAGTTCCCCTTGGCATGTAACAGAACGGAGTCACGGGTTCTCAGGTTTAAGACGAGGACCTCCTCGGAGAGCCATCCTTCTCTCCAGCCTGCAGCCACGCAGTGGGACGCTACCCGGCCGTCAAGAGGGAACACATTATTGATATGGGCGACAACTTTGAGGAGTCTTGATACTATGCTGTGTGAAAGAAGCCATCTCGGAAGGTCATATCTGCAAGGCTGGATTTACGTGAATTACTCAGAAAGACAAATCTTTAGTGATAAAGCCCAGATCGCTGGTGGCCAGGACTTGGGGGTAGAGGAGGGTATGTCCACGACAGGATGGCATGGAGGGGATTCGTTGAGGTGGTGGAAACGCTCTGCGTTCTAGCGGCGCTGTGGTTACAGGAACTGATATCTGTGTGAAATCTTACAGAGTTCTGTGCCAAAATAATTGAAAGCTAATCTTACTCTATGTAAAAAAAAAAAAAAAAAAAAAAAAGTACAGCTGGTAAGAGATGAATCTCCATCTCTCCAGGACTTTCCATGTGTGCATTTTTCTATCTATTCCCACTGGAGGACAATGCAGTACAGATATCTGGAGATGCCCCCACTTACCTCCTGGAGTATTTTGCAAAGGGGCTCACATGACATATCTGCCTCTCATACCCAACCAGCTGTCAGTGAGGAAACAGAGCCTCTCGCCCTGGAAGCCTGGAGTTCTAGGAAGCCTGGAGGGAGAACGTTCGTGGGCGCTAGAGCTAGTCCTCTGCTTGGCACCGTAGCTGAGAAATCCCTCTATAGCAATGCTTTCAAACACTTTTTATTTAGTGCTTTTAAAATATATTTATATCTTTGGCCTTGTTTAACATTTTTCACTGAGTTCCCTTTTCCTTTCAAGAAGCAGAGGCCAAGAAAAACAGCAATGAGTTACGGGAGCCTCAGCAAGAAGTCTCCTGAGACGCCACCGTCTCCTGGAAAATTCTCCTCTAGAGTTTACGAGACAAATATAAATATATGCTGGATGAAGTTTTCAGTGACCTTCAAACTGTTTGCATTTCAGGAAGATTCCAAGAAGAGTTTCTGTCCCTGGCAGATTCTTGGGTTTCTGGGCTTAAATTTAAAAATCTAAACCAGATCACACTCAGGGAAAGCATCATAGAAGCAGCATGACAGAGAAGTCCAGGCACCAAAGTACCTACTGGGTTTTATAAAGCACGTTCAGTGTTTTTTCCATGTGGTTCATTTAATCCAAACAGCATTAGGAGGCAGGGATTGGTATTCTCAGCATACAGAGGAGGAAATGGAATCTCAGGTTACATAGTTCAAGATTCCATAGCCTGTAAGAGTCTCAAATCCTTGTGAGTGAAGTGGATTTGTATTACCCATTTGACAGGGTGGTTACAGATCCAACATTGAAGTAAAGAACAAAGTAGGCGCTCAATAAACGGCAAGCGTTACTACACGGGGGTAAACCAAGGGTTTGATTCTCGCTTAGACGCAAAAGGACAGGTGGCTCTGAATGGGAACAGCCATCACCCTCTGTACCCCCCACTGGGAGGTGTGGGGGACCCCTGGCACCAGAGTTCCTCGTCCTTTCTGCCTGCAAAAGAAGGGGCTCTTCTTTTACAGGACTTGGCTGTCATTCATTTTGGTGACAAGCTGGAGGTCCCAAAAATAACCAATATGAAGCGTCACCCCAGAGTGGGATATCTTAACATCTGTCGCCAGGAACATCAGTTTCCAGGCCCTAGCACCTTCCGAACAGAAGGCGGCTGCAGTGACGATGCCTTCTCAGCCTATCCTGTGAGCCCAGAGCGGGCCCCTGGAATGGGGAAGGTGAGGTCCCTTCCTCAGTCACGGCTCTTCCTTCCACCCAGAAGGTCCAGCTCCGGTGGATTCTCCCTGTGCCTGTCTTCTCCTGGGACACTTGCCTTCCTGATATTCTAGATGGGACACTTGGAACCTTACACCTCTGAATCACTCATACTTGGGGACTTCCTGCATACTCAGTCTCTTAGATGTCGGGGGGGAAAGAAGGGAGAGTTGGCAAAGTGTGAGCTGTATGAGAAGCAGGAGGGAACTGTGTTCATACCTACAGCATGAGGAGGTATCATTTACTCAGATCCATCAGGAGAGCAGACCCTTGGACGCAGGAAAATTCTCTGCCTCAGAGAAGTTACTGTTTTAGGTTCAATGTCTTTACCCCTTGTTTTAAATATTGGGTGACCATTGTTGAAAATATATTCTTAAAACAGAGCAGGGAGAAGTATCAGGGGAATAATTACCTAGAATCCCTTGGTGACTGGTCAATTAAGAAGTTTCATATTTGGGGTATTTTCTGATATTTTTCTAGTCATCTCTCTCTTTGGGTAGTTGAGATTCGTGTGTGTGTGTGTGTGTGTGTGTGTGTGTGTGTGTTGGGTGGGGGGAGGGGTGTGTCCTTTTCTCCTTACCCAGCATAAATCATTAAAATTTTCCCTTATCATAAAAAACAAAAAAAGACTGAGGAGGTTTTACTAACTGGAAGAGATTTTTTAAAAAAAGAACAGCTTTAGAAAAATGGGATTCTGGATAGGATCCTGGAATAGAAATGTTCAACATTTACAACACAAACAATAAATCTTGATTTATGCATAATTTTTTTAAAAAAAACCTTGGAAAAGGTTGATTCAGAAACCTTAGTTCCAGGACGAAATGCCAACTGTCACAAAATAATCTAATTTTATTTCAAAAATATAAAATAACCTCATTGAAGGGCACCAGGTAAAAGACACTACCCTAATTAACTTTGGAAATGAGTGAAGATGGTAAAAATAAAAGCCAAAGAAACTGCATAAGAACTAGGCTTTAGCTGATAACATCGTTTGCTGGGGAGGTCCGGGTCACCGTTTCTGGTACTGCTCTACGCGCACGCTGGAGCCAAACGTTAAGCAACTGGATGGTGGGTGGCGGGAGGCAGGCTTTTTGCTGTTGGAGTGGGAGGCGGCTGATAAGCAAAGGGGAGGGTAATCCATGTGGCAACGGATGAGAGGTGGAGACGCCAGTGTAAATGCATGTTTAGCTGAACGGAGTTACAGATAATTAAACAGATATTCACAGGTAAGTTTCTATAAACAGGGTGATATACGCACACGTACTTCCTCGCTCTGTCAGCTGGGAGGGCCTGGAAACAATGACAGTCCCGTTGAACGAGCACATCTAAGGCCTCGATTGGGGTTCCTAACACTACTCGTCAATAACAACAACCAGGGCTCCTCAGAGAAAAATGGCTGGTTCTGGGGCTGGGGCTGGAGCAGGAAGAGTCAAAGTGAGCCTGCAGCCAGAAAGCAAAGGGGGGCTCACCACACACACACACACACACACACACACACACACACACACACACAGAGTGACTGGGTGCGGGTGGGGCTTGGGCCGAGTGAGAGGGCTCCCAGTGGCCAAAGCTGAAACAGTGCGAACAACAAAAGAAATAAAGTAGTACAGGATTAAAACCAAAGTATAAAATAGAGATCGAGGAGCCTATGTGAAGATCAGAAATGAGTGAATAAGTAAATGAATAATGAAAGGAATAGACAAATTTCTCTCTTGCATTTATGAATAAGTTGTGTGTATCTATATATATATATATATATATATATCATCAATGAAGAATAGTGCTTAATATTTTTTAATGAATAAATATCCTGAAAGGATAATTGTCTTACATTTATCAGAATCATCCTTTTTATAACAACTGCACTTGAAATACTCGGGTTCAATTTCAAAGGCCAAAAACAGACCTTTTGTATTGTTTCTGGAAACACAGTTACTAAATTAACTTTGAGTTTAAAGTACCATCTGGTTGTCAAAGTACTACCATTGTTGGAAGGGTGCCCAAGATCCTGTTTCTTGGTGATGTCAGGTTTATTTTAATAGAGACTTCATCTCAGGTTTATTTGTTCTATGACCATAAGTTTTAAAAAATATGTTCTTATCTCTGAACTCACAGAGGAATAAAAGAGACCACTCTGCAAAAATATTCCAGTTTGGTTACACCCCGAGCCATCAGGCCTATCCCAGCCACACTAAACTCCACATCTTGTGGGAAAATGTGGCATTTGCTTGGCATTTGCTCTTTGAGAAATGGGTGCGCATTTCTTGTGCCAGAGACAGTGGAGAGTGTCCTAGAGGGCAGGCTGGCCAGGGACATGCTTGCGATTGAACAATACACTTCAATTTTCAGAGAAACTCCCCAGCTGGGGGTTGTCTTAGTTTCTCCCTCCACCTCAGTACAAAAGCATCCATTTTATTCACAGTGCCAATGTTGAATCTGCACAAAACATTGAGTCCTTTGTCTAATCGAAAACGCACCTCTCTTGCATTAAGTGTGTAATTATGCACCGCAACATTCTCTGATGTGCACGTAAGATTCTGAGTTGGATCGACTAGCACATCAGATTTGTCGTTAAGCCTTAACTTTCTCCACCCAGTGCCATCCCTTTCCCCCACCCAGCAGCACCCCCGAGCACACAGTCAGGAAGCACGGAATGCTTGCCACGTTTCATGGATGGAGAGTAAATGACATCCCACGCTAGGGAAACACTGAGCAAAGCAGTGCTTGTGCAAAAAATAAAAAATCATGCCATGGTTTTTTTGTTTTTAGGGACACAATTTGAATTCCTTAGTTGAAGGTCTTGCTCACGGTTTATGGTTAGATGCAAGCCCAGCTCTGGTTCAGGAATTTCGGGGCTTTCTCACTGGGGAAGAATCTCTCCTTTTTTCCTCTCCTGCAATACCTCCCACTCTATCCTGGCTCCATGAACTTCTGTCTCATATGCATTGACATCTGCCTTTCTAGGAATCACTTTGAAGGGCAGTGCCCAAGACGGACCCTTCCCTGTACCCGCGTCGGCCCTGGGATGAAGAGATGTCCAGTTGGTGAGTGTGGCATGGGCTGATGGTCATGAAAAACCTAAGGATGCGACGGTTGAGAGTTGGAAGGGAAGCTCACGTGTATCAAACCCCACCTGCTGCCAAGCTGTGGCCTCCTCCCCATCCGTTTTTGACTTGAGGATGATCATTCCCATCTTAAAGATGAAGGAAATCACACTCAGAAGATGAAGCCACTTGCCCAAGATCATCAACCAGCCAGTGGCAGGCACAGGATTTGAACCTAGACTGGGCAATTCCATCATAGGCAGTCTTTGTATGAAAAGGCAACCTGGAGTGAATTGGCAATGTTAGGAGAAATTCAGTTTCTCAGAGATCAAGCTCTTAATCCCACTTATATTCATTACATGAATATAATACACCAAACACCTGAGAAAGGATGGGGAATTTTCTATGTGTATGTTATATGTTGAAGAAACAAAGAAGTGTATTTTCATTGGCTTCCTATGCAATTTTTTTTTTAAACTCAGAACAGCTGAATAGTTTCCACTTGAATAGAAATGGCTGTCGAAACTGCAGAGGTGCCTGGAGCGCAAACTCATTTCACTCTCAGTTTAGGTGTCCACCCGTGTTGCACAATCAGCACAGGGGATATGATGCAATTTTTTTAAAAAACAGACTTTGCAAAACAAGTATTGAGCAACCTAAGTCTCTCTTTATCCTTGTCTGTGCCTAGCAACCTTGCAGGTCTGTTTGACAGGAAAAAAAAATGTGCCCTTGGACAGCAAGATACTCAAAGGCTGGGAACAGCAAGAGGCTTTGGAGTGTCGCAATCCCTCGGCCTGGCTGGGATGAGCCCGGCAGGAAGTGCCCAGGCCCCGCCGCGCCCCTCCCCTCCCTGCGTTGAGGCAGGAGGGTAGGAGAGGAGCCAAGTGCGTCTGACACGTTGCAGTGTGTACAAGTGGGCTTCAGGGTGGGGTAGAGGTGGAGAACTTTCCAATGTATTCTTTTCTGTTAAAAAATGGTGTGGTATTACAAAAATTTTGAAAAAGAAAAAAAAGAAAAATGCATCATGCATCAATTCATCACCCCAACAAAAGTGTTTTGATTTTACATAGTCCCTTCCAGACTTCTTCCACCTTCTTTCAGATTTACACTGTGAGACACCATAAAGAAAACATACCATCTACTGAGCCCTATCGGGTTAGAAACTGGACTCAATGGTTTATGTTTATTTATAATCAAATTTACCACTGACAAAAATCATCTCTTCTCTCAAAAGATTTTCTCTCATTTTGCAGATAAGTATATAAACTGAGGAAACTGTAGTACCTGACCCCTGTTCCCTGAGCAAGTCATGGATCTGGGTTCAAATCTCATTCTCTGTGATACGAAACCATACATAGGCAATCAACTTTACATTTTTCTCATTTCCTTTTATATCTAAGCACATTATTTTACTATATGTGTCTAAATTAATATTTTAATATCTGTAGTCTAAATATCAATGGACGCATCATCATTTACTCTAGATCATCAAGTTTTGTAGCAGGTACAAATCTTAAGCTACAAAAAATTCAAATTTACAGAAAAAAAAATGTGCCTTCCACTTTGCTAGGTAGTTGTCAGCCAACTCAATTTTATTTTGGAAAGACGTTAAAAAATCAGGTTGCTAGGCAGATGGACCAATGGATGGATGGATGGGTGGGTGGATGATGGATGGGTGGACAAATGGAGGGTGAGATAGATCATCCTTTGAGGGAGTTAGAGGAAGAAATATTACCAAACAGTGAGCAAGCCAAGCTGGACAGCAGAGGACGAATGGCTGCTTGTCTGGAGGAAAAGAGGACAGTTTCCACCCCGGGGTAGGTAGGACAGAGAGATGGGGAGTCTGGGTCGCACTAATCTTCAGTGAACAGAGCTAATTAAATAAGTGACTGAGTAATCGCATCATCTGGTTAATGCATTTCACAATGAGTCCCAGATACTTTGGTCATTATGCTGATGGAAAGCTTTCTGAGGAAAAAAAAAAAAAAAAAAAGGCCATCTCCTAAGGTTCATCCTGTAATTACCCACTTCTTGCCTACCTCTTGCTGTTTTTGATAAGAGCCATTAGGATAATAATTACGGGCTCAACTAATGTATTAATAACCTTGTAGATACACTTCTTTATGCCTCTGCGAAGGGCTGAAATATGTTAACCTTTTAAATACCCTCAGTCACAGAGCCCTGTCAGACTTTTATTAATCGCTGGTTCAGCTGCCCAAGCTCCAGCTAGCTGCAAGTGTGCACGATGTGTAGAAGCAAAGCCTTTTCATTTTGCTCATGGTCATTTCCCATTTTAGGAACTTGAAATGAAATACTGTGTTTACCCTGTATATCCTAAGAATGTATGTCAGCTGCAAAGCCTGAAATAGACATGGTTTTGCTGCCCTAAATATTTGATTCTGGAGTCAAGTTGGTATAATTGCTAGACATCCTTCTTTAAATATAGAAAGAGAACAGAGGTGCACATTGGAAATAAACTCCACGTTCAGAGGTAGCACAGCTTCTATTTGATTTTCTAAAATAATGTCCTCAGCTTGGCGAGTGCAGTGGAATGAGGAGGCAGTGGATTCATGTGAAGTCAGGAAGATTTGGAGACACATGATGACGAGGTCTCTGGACAAGAGAAGGGGTTTCTAGGAGCTGGGAGGTGTAGTTAAGACAGGACATAAACTGCAACACGCCCTTCCGTAAAGCCACGGCTGAACATCCATTGCCCCAGTTCTGCGCCTGCTGTGTCACCGATAAGTGGTTTCAGATTAAACAGTGAAAGCAAACACATTTACCACAGACAAAAGCACATACTAGGGGACCCAACTGCCTTTGAACTGTTTGATAACTTATCTTCTACAACCAAGGCATTAAGCTCCAGCTGCAAGTCCGCCCTGACACCTGCAGAAATAGCCTTGAGATAAAATATTTTCAAGTAGTCCTGCTTGGTACATACTAAAGTTAGAGACGAGTGAACGAGTAAGGGACTCAAAGCTGGTGTGTGTGTTTGGGGAGTGCTTATGTTTGTGAAATGCCTACCATCCTAATTCTTGGGTAATGTTGGGTCCTACCTGCCTTTGGACATTGGTATTTAGAGTCCAATGTTAATTTTGAAAGGAACTTGATATATCAATAGTTTTGTTTCTTGACATTAGCCTTAAGGAAGAGACCTAATATGATTTATTTATTTGAAGAAGTTACAGTGAGACAACTATAGTTGTTTTGAAGGTAACGATAACAATGTTAAAAACATATAAAACCTCTATCTGTCTGTCTTTCCTTGTATTAAGAGACAAGCAGAAGTGACCGAGTTTGACAAAGGATGATGAGTTGTATCAACTTCTCCAATACATCTAGTGTTGTTTTAACCCATCAGTAATAATGTAGTCAATAAATGTGTATTGAACACTCACTACATATCTAGTGCTGGGCAAGTTGCTAGAAAAATAAAGAAGATTCAGACAGGCATTTTCTGCCAAAGATTGCAAGAACAGGTGCACAGAGAGAGAAGATCCATAATGAAAGCAATCAGGGGACTTCCAGCCGCTCAGAGAATAGACACCCTCCACCGCCCCGCCCCCCAAGTGGGGGAAGGAAAACCCCAGGCAGTGCAGACGCTTCCGAGGGAGGCTCTCTGCCTTCCTTTCTTTAGGCTTTGGTTACCCCTTTTGGGGGAGGATTGCAAAGACAGAGACATAAATTAACCACACTTCTCAGTTCCTGGTTTATGATCCACTTGTGTATATATTAGGAGCCTTTCTTCATTCTGCTTTGTCTATACATATATATGTATATATGTGTACATGTATATGAATGCATATATAGTCTGTTTTATTTATTTATTTATTTGTTTGTTTGTTTGTTTACTTATCCCCGTCTCAACATTCCTGACTTCCATTTCTCCTGTCCGCACACTCAGCAAAAATTCTGTCCTGAGTTATGTTTATTTTCGTATGACTTTATACCTGTGCATTGCTGTGTTCACACAAATGCCCTGTGAGGTAGGCTGGTAAGGTTCTAGATGTATGCATTTTTTTTTACTACATACAAGTTAGCCAATATTTCCTAACACATGCCTTGTGGGTAGCATGAAGATGTAAGACATGCCTTTTTTTCCCTCTGTAAATTGGCTGGATAGTGGGGGTAGGGAGGAGGGGGCGGCATGATGAAAATACTCAAATAAAGTAAATATTCTGATTAGGCAGACAAGCGCTGGATCAAAGATCTCAAGATGTTGAGAGAAGACAGTTGGCCCTTGTCAAAAAGGAAACCGTAAATTTCAGGTGGCGTAAGTGAAAATCAACAAAAATGACTGCTCCAAGACTCCTCACCCCTTGGGGACAGCCGTGGCTAAAGGGCAAGAGAAAAGCTTCAGTTGTGGAGCCCTGGACAAAGACACCTCTTGTCCAGGGTGAAGTTCAGGGTGAAGATACGAAGGCGTTAGCTCTTAATGTTTGACTCATTTTACTGAACGATGAGGAAAGTTGATTTAAATATAGTCACTACACTCATGTAGTAACTGCTTTGCATATCTAATCACTCACTCTTCTTCGCATAAATGTCTTTATCATCTACAATCACATATTTAATATAACATTATATATGACCCAACAGCCCCAGAAAAGGGAAATGACTTGCCCAAGAATACAGTTACTAAACTGTAGATCCAAGATTTAGCCAAAAGATATCTAGACAAAAATGAGATATAATACTCCAAACTTGATTATTAGTTTACTGTCAGAGACTAGAAAAACTGTTGAATGTTCATAAAGAATATTATTTATAACTTTCAAATACTTTGTGGATTTGATTTCTGGAAACAATGGAAGTCATTTGATTCCTAACAGACTTTCTTAATAAGAGAGGTCCAGGTCAGTCACGGCATTTGACTGCCTATTATGGGGCTGGCATCTTATATTGTTAATACTATACTAATATTACTTTCCTTTCCCTATCACAGATGGGAAACTGACTCTCAAGTAGTTATCCAATAAAACACAATCAGGAAAGGATAGAGACCCAAATATTTCAAATAGCAAGTTCATTCCTCTTTCCATTAAACTATCATCTCTCCTAAATAGAATCATTAAACCAGGAGACCAGTAGGAAGTTGCTGTTCTATGAGATTACAGAGAAACTCCAGTTGGCTCCTGATTTCCATGTCTAGGAAAATTTTTTTTTTAAGATTTTATTTATTTATTTAGAGAGAGGGGACAGGTGGGAGAAAGAGAGAGAAACATCAATGTATGGTTGTCTTTCATGCACTCCCAGGCATGTTCCCTGACTGGGAATTGAACCAGCGACCCTTTGGTTTGCAGGCTGGCACTCAGTCCACTAAGCCACACCAGCCGGGGTTCCATGTCTAGGAAAAATTTTAATTGAGTAAGGAATGTGAAATCAGGAAATGTCAATGAATATTGTTTGTTTCATGAATCATTTACATTTAATCAAGTGTTATGTATCAGACATTTTCTCTGGCATAATTTCTTCACATCTGCAAAGAAATTCAGTTACTTAGAGATCCTTTTATGTATTAGAAATACAGCCCATGCATATTATGTCACAAATCAGGTGTGTGTGTGTGTGTGCGCGCGCGCGCGCGCACACACATGTTGATGTTCTCCCTTGGGCACTAACTCATCTTTCAATGCCGACGCCACAGGTTGTCTCTTCCCAAACTTTCCTAGTCCCTCAGGTGAATGTTGACGACGCCCTCCTTGTAACTCCATTGTTTCCTCCGGAGATGCCGATGGCAGCAATTCTGAGGAACGTTTGATTATTTGTTCTGAGGATCGTTTCTCTCATCAGACTCAGGCACTT